GGGGGGGGGGGGGGGGGGGAGGGAGGATGTTTCACAATTTCCATTAGCGCACAAATAAACTGGAGCAAATAAGCTCATTTCGAATTATTTGGACTTCAAGGATGGCCCTGATGACATTATAGTAATAACCAAATGTAATCGTGCTTGAAAAATGTTCACAATATGAAATTTTTATCCAGTTTGGCTGTAAAGTTTGCTGTGTTGCATACGGATTACGGGTTTCTCACAGCTAATACAGTGAATGGAGGCTGTAGTAGGTAAACGTATTGAAAGACATGGTTCACTAAGCGAGGCTCGTATAAGAAAAAGTATGGGTAAGAGCTTTTATATCGAAACGTGGGTTCAAAAATTAGCAAACGCATCAACACCGTCCGCGTTGATGCCACACCCTCTGATTTCGAAAAATTCATATAATAAACTAAACAAAAGAACTGAAATAGGTAGAGGTACAATGTTTTTAAAAATTTGAACACTGATTTTCAAAAACAGATATTTGTTTTTTACAAAGAATTTTCCCTGCTGCAAACATAAGCAAGCAAGGGTACAGGACTATGGATGTAGGCTCTTCGTATCCATTAACCAATTTAGCCAATTTACCGCCATTGGCGGCATCTCCGCTGACAATTGTCCCATTTTGTTTTTTTTTCCATATAGAATAAAACTGCGATTTCTCCTAAGCAGAAAATTTTAATGCTTTAGTAGGCTTTTCTGAGATTCTCCAGCTTAATTACTGTACTCCACCACTATGTGCTAACTTACAATAAGAAGGACTGGTAGTCCGCGAGGGTAGAGCCCATTGACAGTAAAAAGCCGTGGGGAGACGGCTCTTCTACACCGCCCTGTCACTCCCACTACTCTCATTTAAGTCTCTTATTGGTCACACTTAGGCTAAATGGTCAGCTGATTGGTTAGCAAGAGGACAGATGGGTGTAGGAAGGCCTTCAACTGCAAATAATCCTACATCCAGCAATGAGCACACCGCAGCCGCGCGCAGAAAGCAACTCATTTAATCTTTAAAAACCTTCATCAGTTTAACAGGCACATCAAGATGGGGGAATTTTAGATTGGATTGAAAATAACGATATTTATTCAATTTCTAAATACTTAAAATTATGCACTTTCACCCGAAAGTGTTTCTCTATCGTAAAGATCGCCAACGTATCGATCGTGGCATTCCTGGTTGCCGTGGTTGAACATGAATAACCTAGAAACAATCTTTCTTTTATAATTTAAGAAACTTATAAAAATTTTACCTAAGATGTCCTATGATAGAGGAGGCGCTCATGAGAGTCCACTGTTTCTCTTCCATCAATTGCTTATAGAAGGTGAAAAATTGTTGAAGTTGTTCCGAATTTGGTCGATGCACTTCAATATTCATCTGGAAATAAGGAACTTATTAAGAAACTCTTAATTTTCAAAAAAGACGAACCTGGCAAATGATTATGCCTTCTCGTGCAAGTTGGCCACTTTGAAGTAGGAATGGTAGCATGGGATATTCGGCATGTTCGATATCAATCATAATCTGGTCGATGACCGCTCTTTTCACATAATTTCGCAAAAACGTGGCAATATCAATGTATTTCACCTCTTGATAACGATAAATATCTAAAAATGTAGAGATTGGTTTAAAAATCCTTAGGGAGAAGGCTG